CGATTCCTGGTGGGAACCTTTGATCCAATAAAGGAGGAATTATTGGTGGATTAATCACCATGGAGGAGGCTCCCTTTGGGGAATGAGTAAAAGCCATGTGGAAACCTGGGAACCAACAAGGGCACATCCTGCGATTTACCTCCCTGAGCAGCTGAGGGGCCGGAGGTTCAGGGACGAGGATATAATCTAGCGCAAGCTGGGACACCTCGTTAAAAAAAATAATAATAATAAAAAAAGCTCTAGTGACGAAACGGTGAAAACTTCAAGCTTGGGGTTTAACCTTTAGAATAGAATAAAGAGGTGAAAGAAAGCTGTAGTGTGTGAAGTTGTATCACTTTCTTTTAGTACGACGTTGACAGACGCTTACCAAAAACCTTCACGGAAGAAGCTTGTTTCGTGGCTTTCGAGGAAAGCGATAATTAAGAACCAAAATTCAATTACTGAACCAAAGGGAGGGCCCCATCGAGTCAGGAAAGCACTAAGAATTATCAATGCAATTATTGAAGCAAAGGAGCAAAATATCTCTACGATAATTATCATTTTAATTTTTTGAGTGGACTAAGCACTGGAAAATAGTTATATTCCACTAAAAATAATTCCTTTCCTTTAATGGAAAGGATTTGGACAGATGCTTTTTGTTGATCTACAATGCAGTTTAACTATCAAATAGTTGATATGTATTAAGCTAATAAATTATTGCCCCTGTTTGAACTCCATTCTTCAGGAAAAATACATTATTTTACAGTGTTTTGACATAATTTCAACCACACATTTTTCAATAAAATAATATTACACATAAATCTAAAATTTTTTCTTATTTTTTAACCACACATTTTTCATCAATACACTATTCAAAAATACATTTTTCCTACAAAATGGGGCCAAACAAAGGCATTAATATATTCGACGGTGAGCAATCCATCTTTATATGCCCTACAAGGCGCACTCCTACAAAATCATTGCAGTTCCGTTCTTAGATTACCTTTGAATTTTCAATTTTTTCAAACATCATCTCCGGCCCCACACTGAATGATAGTAGACAATACAATTTGTGGTTCACGTGGGTATCACGAGAAATATATGAAATTGACCCAAATAAAAGAGGCCATTTTCCAAATTAGCCCTTGACTTTTCCAAACATTTGTAACTACTTAAAATACCCTTAAACAAATATTAAAAACAACCTATTTCAAAATAAAAATCTTCTATCTAAGTTCTTAAAAAATTGACAAGTAATTTTTCTAAAAATTTGAAAGAATTATTAATGAATAATTATAAAATAAAAAAACCCAAATATAAGAGAGGACCATATAATATAAAAAAGGTTGTTCAAAATAAAAAAGAAATTAAGTTTGAAAAAGATAAATTAGAAA